TAGACATGGAGAATTATCATATTTTACTTTATTCATTTTGTGAACGTGATCATCACTAAAATTCAATGACTGCAGATATTCTATGATTGTTCTGTGTTGTTATTGTTATCATAGATTAGATTATATAAAGATATGTAAAACTGGCTGTATGAAAAGCGCTACAGAATAGCAGGATTCGCTTCATTGTTTCCGACAAACGACGTTCGCAAAAATCTTTGATGAAATTGTCATCAAAAATCTCAATATCTTTCCTCATATTTTGCAAAACATAGGAACATAATGTTCAATATTTTCTCCTAATTTACATTTTTCGCTCAAAGAAAGCGCTAAAACGTAGCGCAACTTCATTGTTATTGGCGGTATGTTATGAGAATCGGAGGAGAGGAGGAATTTGTCAATTTTACGTAAATTTCACCCTTTTTCAACAATAATATAAGGTATTCCTTACAGTGTGTTTTGATTGTGAAGTGATGAAGCTTGAATGAACGTGTAGGAATTAAATTAAGACGCGAAAGGTCGGTTTTTAAGGCTTTTTTAACCCAGATCTTCATCCCCGACAGCGAATGAAAATTTCAATAAGTAGCTTGTTTTCGTATAATTTCTTGTATATATCTGTTTCTTACATTTTAAACTATCACGAATGCTTATGAATGAACTGGAATGAGAGTTGCTATGTGTATATGAAGAGAGTTATCAATATTTATCCTTTATAATAGTTTTGAATGTTCTCTTATTATGCAGATTCGCTGAAAAATCATATGGAATTCGCGGAAAAATGATATTGTTTGGATTTCTCTTCGTTAAGAAAATAGAAAAGACAAATGTTGAGATTAAAAGTAAGACAAAGGCAATGAAGAGTATAGTAAATAGCATTAATAGGTTATAAGTAATGGTGCTGCATTCATATTTTGCATTTTGGGAAGAGCAAACAAACTATTGCCATACGTTTTCTGGCAGGATAGAGCGTATTTACCACCTTAGTGACTTATCTTATAATAAAAAGGCATTCTAAACTCTAACTAGGTATTCTTCTCTGACTAGGTATACTTTGGGAAGGTTTATTGGACTTTGCAGAAGTTTGAAGTATGGAGGCTGCAAGCTCATATATTTCCAGTTAAACGTGCTGGAGGTTTATGGAACAAGGCCAGAATATGTAATTCATAGAGTTACAGAATCTGACAACTAATTACGAGTATTTCAAATATTCAGACTGTAATTTCGATTGAAATACATTTTGAATATTAGTCTACAACTTCCTCAGTAATGAGAGTATAGATTTACATTACTTTAGGGACACATATTTACATTATCATGAAAGATAATCTCTAAATTTCAGCATGAGTGGAAAGGGCAGATCTCCTCATAAGAAGAAATATCGACGTACGAAAAGAACTTACAAACACCCCAATCCTCTCTTCGAAAAGTGGCTTAAGGAGTGGCAGGATGAGGCCGAGCGAAGACATTCCAACATGAAGTACAATTTCCAAAGAGTAAAAGGATATCCATTCTGTACCGTTCATAATATTTAAATAGCTGTTTTATTTTAGATTTGAAATTATGTTTTTTTTTTGTTAATTGAACATTGATGACCCTGCCTTTGCTGGTTGGGTCAGAATCAGTGGTTTATTGAGTGTATCATTGTCTTTTTGCCTTTTCCTTTTTCCTGTCTTAGGCTTTTCTTAAAGACATTAGTTCGAAGATGAGCAAGTGATTAGCTTGATATGGTATACCTGTTAATTTGATGTACAAGGACATTTGTAGGTGCTTCAGTTATATGATGGCAAGGTATTTTTTACTATATATATAATGTGGTAGATTCATGTGCTGGAGTATAGAATCTACTAGACACTAAACTATATGATACTGTCTGAGATGCTTTATATATGTGTGTGTGTGTGTGTGTGTGTGTGTGTGTGTGTGTGTGTGTGTGTGTGTGTGTGTGTGTGTGTGTGTGTGTGTGTGTGTGTGTGTGTGTGTGTGTGTGTGTGTGTGTGTGTGTGTGTGTGTGTGTGTGTCTGTCTGTCTGTCTTACTTCTGTCTTACTGTCTGTCTGTCTGTCTGTTTGTCTGTCTGTCTTTGTATATGTATATGTACACATACACATACAGTGTATACACATACATATTTATACACACATACTCATAAGTACATAGATATAATTACATATATCCTGTGTTGTTATATATGCATATGATTTTATTTCTTTTTTTTTTATCAACAGGCAAGGAAGTCCTTAAAACTATTCCCACTTCCTCTGTATAGTGGGAAAGATTGCAAGGTTTTAGCTCATTTTGGTGATAAGATCTGCCAGTTAATTGACCAGCGTTTGGAAGAGTACCAAGAAGAGAATGGACCTGTTAATTGGGATGAATTTCATCAGGTATGTTTTATGATTATATTTTTTCTTTTGGAAAGTATTTAATAAGTTTATATTAGCTGTCTAATGAAGTTTACATCCAAGAAGTGTCTTGGTTTAGCCTGTTGACACCTCATTTTTCACATAAAGAAAAAGAAGTATTCTGTATTTTATTTGATTAATCAATTTATTTATTTGGATGATTTTTATTTTTTTTTTATTATTATTTTTTTTTATAATCATTTTTTATTTGTTCATTTATTTTTTTGTTGTCATCAGGTGCAAGAAGAGCCTCAGGTTAAGAAAAGAGGTAGACCTAGAAAGAATACCTCTAATAGTCTGGATGGTAGTACTGAAACAGAATCTCGACTATCAGGGACCTCTGCCAGTCTTCAGGTTCAGGAGAAAAAGGTATGGAAATGTCTTGTCATTGTTCTGGTTTTACAAATACAGAATCTCTCTACTAGGCGCATTTATTGTTATAAATATATATTTGTGCTATTTGTCTGTTCTTTAATATTTTTGATAAGATGAAAAATTTGCAATTTTCGACAATTTTACGACACATATGTAATCATATTTTTCAGTTTTGTTAAATGCAGGATAAACTTTCAGGAATCATTTTGGATACAAAAAGTAATTATAATTCCTACTTTGTTGTGGCTGGCAGGGGAAAAGTCCGGGTGGGAAAAGAGGACGAGCACTGACCTGCAGGCGGGTCAACACAAGAAGATGACTATCCAGGTGAATGTCTTTTACCGGCTGAGCCATGTCAGCCACCACAAGAGATATTATTTTTCCATTTGATACCTTTCAATTTCTTTTGTCTGGTTAAATTTTTGGACAATATGTTGTAGTGGATACCACGACATTTAGTAAAAAGAAATAAGACTGCTTATGTATTTCTTATTTTTCCTCTTTTCTCCTTTTTCATTAGGTTATATGGGAAGGAAGGAATTGATAGAAGCTGCCACCCCTCTTTGCGATGTGTCTTTCACCCACACAGCTGAAGGCTCGCATTACACCGCCTGGTCCTCCATGAGTACCTTGGTCAAGAAGGAGCTTGTGCGTAAAGAGAGTAATCCAGGAAGGTAGGTGAAGACTGAATCATAATTTAGAGTGGGTATATTATGCATATAGGGAGATAGATAAACATCCGTTGGAAATGTACAAATGATAAAAAATTACTTGAAGATTAATTTTCTTTGTTTTACTATACGGAATGCATAACATTATTAGTAATTTTTAAGTACTTATATTGTTTCTTTCAATGTGATTTTACAGATATTATCTAACATCAGAAGGAGAGGCATTAGGAGCCAAAATCTCACAACTTGAAGATGGTTGTGTCATTGGTTCTCCAAGGAAAAGTCCCCAGGCCACACAGACAAGTGAAGAAGTCATAGTCTTGTCATCTAGGAGCTGCAGTCCTGTCATCCCAAATGAGGACTTCACCAGTCAAGCTTTACAGAGTTTCAAAGGAGTATGTGAAAGTGTAAACACAGAATATAGTGGGAAAGTCAGTAAAAATCCTGATACAGAATCGACAGTTTCTGTTAAGAGGAAAGGGCCTGATATTGACAGCAAGAGAGCCAGAAAGATCAGTAAAAGTTTGACTTCTCCTGTGAAGAACACTTTAATGGAAGATGATCATTTAAGTTCTCCAGGTAAGTGATGGTAAAGTAACCAAAGAAAAATGAAAAGAAAACAAAAAGAATTTTTTTTTTCATTTCAGGAGAAACTTTGATAAACTGCAGAATTGAGTTTTTAAGTTTTACTTGAATATGTGAATGATCTCAAACTATAATTTTAATAGTAATGAAGTATGTGATTGATAAATCACCTAAGTATATTTAAGATGAAGTAATTGCCATTATTTTCAGAACACTTTGTATTTAGCTACATTACAAGTTTGGAAGTGGAAACACCCATGCGTGACCGAGCAGTTGTCAGCGTTGAGGAAGATGGCTTTCTGGGTTATTTGGTAAAGTGTCGTTATTCTGCACTCTCAGCCTCTGGGCTTGTTTATCGCTTGGATGATTACAGGTATGATATGTAGTTTATATTTGTACTTCTATTATGCTGGGTGTCTTTTTTTCATGGATTGTCTACTTGTATTTTACTCTTTATAAATAAAAATTGGAAATATATATTTCTACAAAATTCTGAAAATGAGAGCCTCTAAAAGTACAAAGGGTATTGAAATGCAAGCATGAGATGTTTTGTATTGTTAAATATATTTATTTACTTATATATTAAAACTGCAGATTATGTTCTCTATTTATTTGCCTCCAGAACAGCTCCTCCGGGATATGTTTATGCTTATTTGTCCAATGAGTGTGCTCCCACCATGTGCCCAGGCCTTCGTTCCCCAACACGTCCCAAGTCTGCAGCAAATGTTTGTCAACCGTCAGTACCAGTTGCAAAAGCACCTTTTGGCACTCATTTTTCTGGAAACACAGGTACTGGATAGAAGAAATTGAAAACTTGGTTTTTACTAGATACATAATTTTTAAAGAAATATTGATATAATGTAAATTGAATTGTGGTACTCCCCACTAAACTCTGGTATACAGAATGGGGGATCACTGTTGACACCTGAGACACCTCAGTAATCACATAAAGCTAGTATATATTTTTTTTA